GTAAAGCAGAAACAGTAAGCGATGATCTATTTCTTCGACAATTTATTTATGGTACATGGCATTCATTATTTGCATCGGAACTTATTATAAAACGACGTCATAATATGATTATTCTTAGTGGACTTGTAATACGAACAATACATCCACGTCGAATGTATTTTCTTATAGGTTATACAGAAGAAATTCTTTCTGCTCTATTAAAAACTCCTGTTAAAATGGAAATTCAAACTATTGATAGTAAAGATGATGTTATTTTTACCTATTGGTAGAAGAAAAACAAAATCGAAAACTACGTTGTAAAACATTTTTTTAAATTAGTAAATTTGTTTATTTCTAGATGAAACTTTTCACCAAATAATATTTATAGATTTAAAATCCAAATAATATTCAATCATTAATCGATAGTTATAAAATATAATTATAGAATTTTTCTTTTATTCTAAATTTATTTTCAGACATGGCCATGCAAATATGTAACAGACGTGTCACTCAGGTGACAACAAATCTTGTTCGACAACTTGCTAAACCTGTACCAATGAAAGTTGAAGATAATCATCATGATGATGAGCATACCCATATAAGTGTACCAAAAACACCAACACTAAAAACAATTGTTTCAATGTATAAACATTTATTGCATGGTAATGCATCTATTACAACTGGACTTAACAGTATGTTATCGTAGTTACGTTGTTTTTATTTTCTACGAATTCATCTAAATGGATATTTCTTTTATTTAGCTGCTCTTAGCATTCGTCATGCGCATACTGATATTCAAGTACCAAATTTTGATTATTATCGTCGTAAAGAACGTCTTGATGCGTCAAAGTCATATCGAGATGCTGGTGATAGTAGTGCACCTTATTCTTATTTAGCTCCAGTTGGTAAGCATTGAATTTATCGCCAAAATGAAAACAATATAGAATTCTATTGAAAACTCAATTCTTTATACATAACACTTTTATGCTCTTCAGCTAGACATTAAATCTATTATAGATTACTGTCTTACATAATAATATTATCATTTATATTAGAGATCAGATGTCTCAATGGACGAAGTTGGGTCGAAGAAAGCTAACCCATGAACCACTTATCTAAATATATTGGATAGATTTTTAACACATCAATGGGCAAGCATATTTTGAGTACTAGTAATTGAGATATAAATAAATGTTTGTTAACCTATTTGACAAATTAGAAAAGCAAAAACTTTCTAACATGAACATGTGTTTGTTTTTTTTTCATTTTTAATAACAGCATATGTTTATGGTTGTTTTATTTCAAAAGAAATATGTCATTGTAGAAATCTTTTAACCAATGGAAGAATTACATGAGATTTTCAAAAAAAAAGATTAGTAGAAATACAAAACATTTATTTTATTCAAGATTGGGCCTATCTTAATATCGAATCAGCTCATTGAGACGAATCGTAACTGGTGCATAGGAAAAATTCTTTTCTAAATCTCGACTTGTAGAATATATCTTAATTTTTGATATATACCAGTAACAAAATAAATCCTACATTCAAAAATCAAATTATTCCATAACTAAAATCTAACCTTGACTCAATACTTCTACTCGAGAATTTTCATTTTAATAGATATCGAATCTTAATTTCATTTGAATTAAATATATATATTCTTCTCATCGTATTTATTAAATGAAATATTATATTAACATATTATCAATGTTGAGTTCTTACTAACATGAGACACTAGTCTTAGGAAAAAAAAAGACAGAATAATATCGAATATCTATTTTAACTAATTCTCATATTCGCTATCAGTATTAATACAAAAAAGGAGCTCGCGTATTATTTTCAATATATATATATCGAACTATCTTTGACGTAAAAATCTGCTGATCTAATAGACTAAAATAATATATTAATCTTTTCAAATCCTTACAAATACAATTTTTCTTTTGTAAAGGTATGGCTTTAGTATCAGCTTATATGGCAAAATATATAGTACGAGATATAGTTACATATGTGGGGCCAGCTAAAGACGTAATGTCACTTGCTAAAGTCGAAATAAAGCTTGATGCCGTACCTGAAGGCAAAAATGTTGTATTTGAATGGCGTAATAAGCCAATTTTTGTTCGTCATCGTACACCACAAGAAATTGCACGAGAAGAAGGTGTTAATGTTAGTCAATTACGTCATCCACAAAATGATTCTGAACGTGTACAAAAATCTGAATGGCTAATTGTTATTGGTATATGCACTCATCTTGGTAAGAATTCATGATTAGAAACAAAAAACCAAAATAACTAATTATCTCTATGATCATATTTGTTTATTAATATTAAGGTTGTATTCCAATAGCAAATGCCGGTGATTTCGGTGGTTATTATTGTCCTTGTCATGGTTCACATTATGACGCATCTGGACGTATACGAAAAGGTCCAGCACCACTTAATCTTGAAGTTCCTCAATATGTATTCAAAGATGATAGTACAGTTATCATCGGTTAGAATTTGATTATACGAAAACAAAATGGACTTGTTCCTTTCTTTGTCATTTTTTTTTTCTTTAAACTTTAGTTTATTACATTCTTTTTTTTTCATAAATATATATAGAGAAATATGCTGCTGTTACTCGATTAAATTTATATTGTCTTTGGTATTCATATAAAAAACAAAGCAACAAATATTTCATTGAATATTAAAGATTCATCATGATAAAAACCTTTACAATTTTATTTTTATTCTTGCTTTTCATTAAATAGAAGTACATTGAGTTTTTAAAGCAAAAAAAAAAGTTAATGAAACAAAGGATGATTATATTCTTATTATAAAACTGTTCTTTTAGCCATAGTAAAGTATACCATTTAAATTTTGTTTAAGTACAAGAACAAGACCTTCTTGATTGGCATCATATTTCCATAAAACATATTCATTATTTTTTTTAGCCATTTGTACATAATGATTAACTGCACGATATAAATCATGTAGTTTTGGATCATGTACAGCATTGGCAAGTTCTTGTAGTTTAAGTAATTTTTCCTTTGTAACTAATGAAAAATTTCCATTTGGAAGTAAAGTTTCATCGGAACGTTTTAATCGTTCATTATTATAATTATCATCGCTATCAATTAATGGTAAACCACTTATAAATTGAATATTTATAGCGACGATAATAACCACGATAAATAAAAGAAAATTCTTTAAAAGATAAAAGAAAAACAGTATTTTTGCTGAAAATTTTTGTTCCGATTATCAGAATAACATCTACCTGCATTATATGCTTGTTATATGTTGTTGATGAGCGAATACAGATGAAAAGGAATCTGCAATATAATGTCTAACTTACAAAGAGTATTCATATATATATATATATATATATATATATGTGTGTGTATGGTATAAAGTCTTAATAAAAATGGGTTTCATATTTATATAATTACTTTTCTAACGATGTTAATGGTGAAATAAAAGATGATACTACCTTGTTTTTCAATAGAATCTCATCGAAGATAAAAAAAGAAGACGAGTTATGTATCTACTCTTGCTTAATATTAGTATAATCGAAACTTGATAAATATAATGCTGTTGGTTGATGGAAAAAAAAAATAAGATCAAATATATAGTGTAAAACTAATGTCCGCGCATGACAACTAAACAGAGGTGAGGGTAACCTTATTCATTCGACAATGACAACAGTTAGTGTCCTGTAGTCTTCAACGATCGATAGAGAACTCCTAACGTCTTTTTATTCAATACTATATAATGTGACAAAATTATTTTATAAGCCATTATCTTCGCAAAAATATACAAAAAGAAAAAAGAATGCATGCAAATAGTGTTTCTTAGTGATGTAATTTTTATTTTGACATGAACTTCAAATATATAGTTCAAAGAACGATTTCAAGTAACTCTATTCTCATATCTAAATGTTTAGCAAACGAAATTGCGTATCAAATTATATGGAATTCTTTTGATATTTAACAAATTTTCTGACTTTTTAGTAAAACTTTCTTGCAATAAAACACCCTTTTCATGTATTTTTTTTTGAATGTTTGAGAAAATAGTTGCTTTTAAAATAATTTTGTCTTCAATACTATCAGACAGAAAGATGTTCGAAGTTATTTTCGTTGGATTTCTGAAAATCATAGATTGATAAGTGTTGCCGTTATCGAATTATTAAGCTTACATCCACTTGTCTTTGATTCTGGCACAAGCATTAAGTATTGTCTCCTATAAACTGATCAAAAAAGGTTTTAGAACTACAAAAGTATCATATGTTCTTCAAAATTTGAACTCTATATAGAGATATTTTTTAAATTCATTTTTGAAAATGTAATAAAGTATGAAAAGAGACAGAATTTAATGAATATTGTGTGACAACGAAAGGAATTTATAGACAGATAGATTAATAAATAGAGAAATGCAGTATAGCTTCATGAAAAATCAAACCGGAGAATAATAGATGCACTGATTCTACTCTATTTAAAAAAAACTGTTCTTGTTAAAATAATTTCGGAATTTAATTCATTTTTCTATGAAAATAATTGTTATTTTCCATTTTTTATTATCTCTTAATCTTATAAAGTTGTTAAAAAAATTGTTTAATTATATAATATTATTTAATCAAAGAAACTATATTCAATGATATTTCTTTTAGATTTAAAGAGAAACATTCAATTCTGAAAAATTATGAGTCATTTTTTTGTTGTATTTTAATAAAAAATCTACTTGTCGAATAATTTCAAAAAGCCAAATAATTAAAATAATTCTATTTCAGCAGTATCAATGTGCAAAATTGCCTTACCATACAGGAGATAAAATAGGGTAAAAGAAACAGAATTAAAAGGTCTAAAGAACTCAGAAAAAAGAGTCATTTTTCACAACAAGTTATAATAATGGAATTAGCTTAAGAAAAAGATGAAGATGAAATTGTTCGTTATGTCAAAGTAAAATTAATCATTAACAATGAAGATCTACGTTAATCTAATGAAAACAAAGAACTAAAACTCAAAGAGCATCGACAAAATTTCAGTAATAACACTATTGATGAAATGTTGTTCATTGGAGATTTCCAAAATAAAAAAAAGCACTTTATTGCTTTATTTTCAAATCATCCATCTGAAATACATTTAAGCGAAAGCGAGAAATAAACTTCATGTGGGAGAATCCGAAAAACTTTCTCGGGTAAGGCATAGGATACGAAAAAACTTACCCTATACGCTTCTATTCAATAAGGAATGATGTCACTAAAGGCATATATCTATTAACAACATATCTATAAATGATTTCACTCTATCTACGAAAGCATGTCTTGAATATAAAATGAACTGAAATTAATGTAAACAGCATACAAAGTAAAGTAGGAAAATATAAAATCGATAGAAAAGGAAATGTAAAGTAAAAGAAAAGAAATAATATATTTTGCATGTTATCTATTGATCAATCTATAATTTAGTTATGGCATTTAGTAATAATTTTTATATATTATAAATTCATGATATCCTACTTAGAAAATAGATTAAAATAGAAATGTAATTTATTCAAAATAATCAAAATAATTGATTGCATATTTTGATTTTAAAAATATACGCTGTCGGCAAAGATACTAGACAAAGTAGAATATCAATATCGTCCCCATGTTTTGACCAAATGAACTGATGTTTTGATCCTTAATAAAAGACTGTTCATAACTTATATTCATAAGAATAACATCGTCATACATTTTTCTGAAGTATGAACAACTAATTTAAACAAAGAGTTGTAGACTTTTATCAGTTGTTAAAAAAATATTTATTTCCTAAGCCAACAATAAGCAAAATCTAATTTTTTCGATTGATTCTCTATACTATTAATAGTATCGTTTGTTATCATATTTATACAACAGATACACATCTTATTATACAGTGTATTTTGAGAGTTCAGTTATAAACAACAACAATTTGTCGATGAAATTGCAATATGGATTTTTCATAATTCGCGGAAGATTAAAGTTCTTTGTTAAAATTAGTTATTAATGCTTCAAAACTTTAATATCATTTTATTTATCAACATTTAAGGAAATATCAAATCGAAATTAGTACTTCGAAACAGAGAAAAAACAAGTCTAATACTCTTGTCATACTCTAAGTTCTATTTATTCTTTTTCATTCGGAGATGGTTCGATCGAAGGAGGTCGTTATCGAGGATTTTTGACACTCGAAAAATTATCATGCATTCTCATAGAAAAAAACCTTTACATCCTTGCAAAAAAATCGCGACACTCCTCTTTCGTCTGTAATGTTAGCTGCCTCAGGTCAGTCCTGTTCTTAGTACAAAATATAGATTTCTCCTATCGATACTACTCATTTCAGTGTCTTCAAAATTCAAAGACAGTCTATTTCTTCTTATCTATAACATGAATCGTCAATATTTTCATGATTTCAACTGCGAATTTCGATCGTTTTAATTGAACATAATTTTCAAAAAATCTCATTGGTCAATAATCACTTCACATACATATCTTTGATAATCGAGTATTTTTTTTTTCTTTGCAAACAAATTCAAGAAAAGAAGAACAATAATATGAACAAAACAGAAAAAAATGAACGCGTGCTCATATTGCAATCGACTAGAAGTCAAATGTCTCTCTCTCTCTATATATACAGATAAATGTATATGTATTTTTTCTATTTATTATTTCCATTGGTAACATATTGATGAGGATGTTGATGAGAAAGATGAGGATTATTTTCCTTTTTAACACTTGGTACCGATGGCCATGATGATGATGATGCATCATTTGTTGACATAGCATGTGGATGATGATTATGTCCACTACTAGCATGACTTGTTGCATTAGCTTCTAGTTTAACATTAGGATCATTAAGTGATTTAAAATTATTTTCTTTTTTCCATTTCATACGTCTAAAATAGACAAAAAAAGAAGAATTTTATTTTTTTGTTTTCAATTAAATTTTTATTTATTCTTACCGATTTTGAAACCAAATCTAGAAAGAAATTTAAAAAAAAAAGAAAAAGATAAGCACATAAAAAAAGAAACAAAATTATTTGAAAAAATTTTCTTTACTTTGATTTGTCGTTCAGTTAATGCAAGACTCTGAGCAATTTCAATACGTCGTCGACGTGTTAAATATCTATGCAAAAAAAAAAAAAGAAAATTAACTTTTTCTTTTTTTTATTAAAAACAAGAAAAAGAAAAAAGAAACATTTGTTTTTTGTTTTCTAAGACTTACTTTGTATAATGAAATTCTTTTTCTAATTCAAGTGTTTGATGACGTGTATATGTTTGACGAGTACGTTTGTGTTCAAAATTAAATTCTATAGAAATAAAGAAACAAAAAAAAACCTCTTACAAGTCATTCATTTCATTAATAGACAAACAAGATGGTAAGGAAGTTAATCAATTCAATGGATTACATTTATGTCAAGTTTTTATGTTTCCTGCATACGTTATCTATAAATCATTTTTTTTCTTTTACTTTTTCTTACTGATTAACTTTCATGATTTTCTTCTTCTTTTTTTTTTCTTTTTGTTTTATACCTGGTCTCATCCATGGATGTGTATAATAAAGCATTGGATTGGCAACTGCCATAGAAAAGCTTGATAGTTGATGATGATGATGATGAGGAGGTGGCATTGCTGTTGGAGGAATCATGTCATTGCCTGGTGTTGTTGTTATTGATGACGATGATATTGGTTCAGATTGTTTCCATGATGATGTACCAGTCGATGGTGGTAAAAGATAATCATTTGTTGATTGATGTTGTTGAAGATGAAGTTGTTGTTGTTGTTGTTGTTGTTGCATATGATGATGATGAGATGTTGAACTCGAAATTGATGCAGCGGCTGCTTGCATCATTGTAAAATTTGAATATGTATTCATAAGTGGATCTTTATTGGTTGTTGCAGTCGGAAATGTTATTCGATCGAATGTTGATGTAAATCCTCCTCGATTATAATCGGTATCATAGAGAAATGGTGTTGAATTATTAGCATCATTATTTGTTGTTTGTTGATCAACATTTGATGATGATCCTGTATTATTATTATTATTTGTTGTTCCATTGCTTGAAAAAAGATCATTTGTTGATGTTGATGGTAGACTGAAATAATTATTCATTGTCTTGTGTAATTATCGTTAGTTTTATATATGTAGAAAGAGAAAAAATTTTTTTTTTTTTTTTGTTGTTGTAGTATAGTCGTTGATGAGGTCAAATAATAATATTGCCCATAAAAAAGTTCACACACATTCAGGTCAAAAGATGGATGATAGTAGTTAATGTTAAGAAATAAAAAAACTCAAAACAGCCACTAATACCCGGCCATAATAATAAAGCAAAAAAGAAGAAAAAGAAGAACGTGTTTAAACGACAATTGAAATGAATATGGAGGCAATGATCGACAGCACTTTACAATGATTTGTTAGGAGGAAATAACTTCTTTCTATCGTTGGTTGGAAAAAGAGAGAGAGAGAGCGAGAGAGAGAGAGAAGGAGAGAGAGAGAAAAAAAAGAAGGAGAGAAACAAGAGAATGATATCTTTCTCTTTTTCTCTCTCAATAGTCGTGTTGTTGTTTTTGCTCCAGTAGCATTATCGTTAGATGAGATGATGATATTTTCGAGCCATTCGGAAAGTACACATACGATAAAGAGAAAAGAAAAAGGACAAGCAGAGAAATTTAACGGAATTTTTTCTCTTCTTTAGTACGTTTTAGTTTTTTTTTTTCAGTTCAACCAATCAATACAGTTCTTTCGTTTGATAGGCCCGAATAAACATATATTCCTGTTCTCTCGTAATTTGTCTCTCTTTCTATATATATATATATTTATTTTTTTTTTCCTTTTCTCGGTCTCTCGTTTGCCATCGTATTGCATTGATCATCAATATATGCATACGAATGTCCCCGAAGAACGATTGCTCATTTTGTCATCACCCTGCGGAGGTGCACCACACCATAGATAGAGAATATATGTGCGACTAATTTTGTGTCCCTCTTGTGCTATCATAGGAGAGAAAAAAAAGAGACCATGCAAAACACATATACATAGATCAAATAGATGTATGCATGTGCATATATTTGATAGGACGAAGAAGAAAAAGAAAAAGATGGGCGCATATAGATAGACTGCAAACCTTAAAAAGAAAAGGTGTGATTGCAAAATTTTCTTTTACTCTTCGTTTTTTCCCCATATTTAGATTACAATCACTATCAATTTAACGTTTAGTTTTTTTTTCTTGCTTTAATGATCATTCTTACTTAGTCTATGTCTCGATATATGTACATATACATATATATATATATATATATACATGAATTGAAATGGATCTTTTGAACAAATACCGACTGTATTGTTATTCTTTTCAACAAAAAACTAGTCATGATGACTAGAAAGTAAAAACAAAAAAACAAAATAAAAAGAAAACAAGTCAAAAATAATGTCTTATTGATTAGAGTATAAATCAATGGAAAAAGATGGCTATGTCGAATCAATTGACCCTATTTCAATAGTTGTATTGAAATCGAGTTTTGAATAATTGATATATTATGCATTCAACTGAAATCATCGAACTATAATTTTTATTGAAATGTATTAAGTTTGATTTGCAAAAAAAAAAAATCGAAGAATATTAATCTGATTCATACTTGCCGAAACTACTCATGTCTGATTTTTTTCAAGTTGGATGCTGTCATATAAAGTGTCATATTATAAAATAGTCATAAACGAATAATCACAGAGGCGAAGTAGTTTCTTTTTTTTGCATCAAATGATGATGATAAAAAAACTTAGTAATTCAAATCGTCGGCCACTTGGCCTTTCGATCTCTATAGGAGTGAAGAAGATCGACCTTTTTTCTTGCATAGATATGTGAAGATCAGACTTTATATCGACCATGTTTTATAAGAGAATAATGACGTGACAAGCATATATATAGAAAAATGTCATACCGAAAAAAATTCAAACATTTCACAAAACAAATTAAGAAAATATGCTATCAAGTTTTGTTATATATATTTGTTCTTTTTAGATTTTAACACTTAACTTTATTCTTAAGATTGATTCAATTGAACCATATATACTAAAAAGACATCTCTTGATCGTTAACAATGTGTTCTATCTAATGGGAATTTGATGACGTCGATGACAATGTCGGTGGAACCGACATTCGGCATTTGTTTTGATCATGTTGTCATCGTTTTGTTTCTACCTGTACTATTCATTACGCTTGTTTTGATCAATGAAGTGTTAGTAGTGTTATAGAGAAGAAACTACTTAGTTAATGAAGAGTGATAGAATGAGAGAATTTGTCACTGTCGAAAATATCTAAGGAAAATATTATTAACTATGACCAATCAATTTATTGCAATATAGAATAAGTTATAGAGATAAAAAAAAAGAAGATATTCTTGTCTATTGATAAAGAATAGTACTTCCATAATCAGCATCATCTGCATAGTTGTTGTATAGCATATGTTTCTTCTTTGAGATAGTATTCTATCACATTGACTTCTTGGACAAGTTTTAAGTTATTCTTTCTCAATCATAGAAGAGTCTGATTTCAAAAAACAAATGTGTCAAAGCGAACTTTCAGTTCATTGGATAAATATATTCTTTGTTATTATCAACATATACATAAAAAAATGTCCTATAAATAAAATTCAAAAACTATTCATATTGAAATTGAGATCATTGGTATGTAGATTTTTAATGCTATATTCTTCTCTTAAAAAGAAAAATTGAATAATAAGATATAAGTTTCGCTTCATATGATTCTTTTTTTATTGCTATTTGTCAACTACAACATCCCGACAAAATAGTACAAATAAGACTTAATGAGGTGTGTTCTTACGTCAATCGATATCTATAATCTTTCGTTATATGACTATCATTCAAATTATATCGTATACAAATAAAACAATTCATATAGAACTATCATCTGTCATTACTTTATATTCTAACTTGAAAACATCTATATAAGTACTACCTGTATTTTGAAGAAAGAACATAATATTGAAATTTCTAGTTATTATCGACGACAATAATAAATGATGATCAACTATATGTAGACAAGGTATGTTATATATATATATATATGTGTGTATGTGTACAAAATAAAAAACGAGAGAAAGCAGAAGGAGAGAAATGGTCTCCATAAAAATAAATATATCATATTATTGAGCAATATCAGTATCGCATTAAAGCCTCACTAATGGATTCGCCCATTTTTTATATTGTCGCTGACAAGTAGTGTTGTCTATTTGTCAAGAGAAGAAAAATGACACACATAACTAGAATAACTAAAATCAATGCAGATAGATTTTGATTAATAAAAAGTTTTTCTAAATAAGTTTTATTTTTTTTATATGTTTGGTTTGAAATGGTCATCACCCGCTGTTGTTTGTTCTTTTTCTGTTATTTTTTTTATCGTTTTTCTCACACATATGCACAACCGATTGGTCTCTATGACATGCACCCGTTATCGGTCAAATGCAGACGATTCGACACTTTCGAACTGCTGTTGCCGTTCAATGGCCCTATTAAACTTTTCCACTCATATCCGTTTGATCAATCAGATGTTACTACTTTTCTTTTTTTTTTCCTTTTTCTCTCCACAGGGAAGTGCTTATCCATTATTATAGGCAATATGTTCTTCTGATTGTTCGCATATGAACAGTATACATTTGTGATTAAACAATCAACAAATCAAAGTTATCTGATTGTTTCCTATTTTCTTTTTCTATCGGAATGTTCTACGTGTGAAAGATAAAAACCAATTGTTTCTTTTTTTTTTTGTTCCTTAAAGAATTGTTACAAAATCACGTTGACAATTATAATATAGCTTGAAGGAGATAGTAATAAAGCTACCTTTTTTTTTTCTTCTTCTTCTCATAAAATGTTCTTTGCGCACGAGTGATAACTCAACTTGTATGTTGTTTTATATTTTATAGAGTTTGCCTGTCTAAATAATGTTGTTGGCGAAGTTTTTTTTTTTTCGTGATGGTTTCTAATTACCCTTGGTCTGTGTGTGTGTGAAGGCCATAAAACAAGGTGAACTCACTGTATATATACGTGAATATAGGGCCAAAAGGCTAAATAATTCGACAAATGTATGTGAGGTGTGACACATGATTCGTTCTCTCGGGGATATGTCAATCGAGCGCGTCGTTTGCCGTATATGAGAAAGAGTGAGAGAGAGAGAAGATCAAGCAACAATGAATAAAAAGAGAAGAAAAGCTTCCGTTCAATGAGCCTCATCTGAACATTAGATGACGTTTTAACGGCTAAATAGTTGCCTCACATACAAAATGAACGTATTGTGACTATGCCAGTTGTTGACCATTTTGAAAATGACGACATATGAAAGAGAAGCATCGGGACGTACAATGGTTGGTTAAAAAGAAAATGTGATGATTATATTTTTTCTCATCAAACTATATATATATATATATATCAAACATAGATTGTTTCGATTTATTTAAGTTTAAAATATATTTGAAGAATAAGAATAGAGTATTTTCAACTCATCAGTTATATCGAAAAATTATTGATATCAAGTTCAAATTCATGATTTGATTGTATCTATAAATAAACTCAAAATAATGTTGTTTACTAATCGGTTTTTTTATCTGATCGGAATATTTGGATGAGTTTTCATTTAATTTGAATAAATGAAAACATTTCTTCTTACAAGTATCTGAATTTAAAGTTTCATTGAATTTAAAAAGTCATGTATATAAAACTGATAATGTCAATGATCATATTCATTGAATACACAACGAACAGTTAAGTTTTATTTTTTAACAAGCATAATAATTATATAATAGTAATTTCTATTCAGTACTTTAATTTAATTGAAAAAGATCTATTGAATTTATTGAGTTAAGTTTAATTTGATTTATCAAAGACATGCTTGATCATATGTATATCCAAATAGAGTCAGACTTCGATTTATTTTCAAAACTTGTTATAATCCCATATAAAAATGTGAAAAATCAATCATTGTGATATTTATATAGAATTGATCTATATTAACAATTTTGAGATCTAATTTAGTAAACATGTTAATATAGCGGATCGTGGTTGAGTATTTTCGAATTCTGAATATATAGAATAAATTCGCA